TGTTGGGCTGCTGTATTTTTGTGTATCTAACCTAAGAAAACTGAATATATAAAAGCTAATTCAAAATATTATTAAATACTATAACACTATAGAAATAATACTAAAATAACACTGACTCTTTCAAAGAGTAATATTATTGCATATTAATGTAGTGTATATAGTAAAATCGTAGTCATCAATTAACACATATTTTAAATAAAACAATATTTCAGTCAGAAAAAATGAAAGAAATGGAAATGGAAAAACTCTCTTACATGGGTCATATGATGTTGCTCGTTTTGCATCACGCCGCGTAAACATAAAACCATGTCTGCATTTGTGAAATAACAAACAACAAGTGCTACTCTTAACTGTTCAAAACTCGCGTTTGAATCGTCAGTGGCAAATTCTTTAAATATAAAAAACGTACTTACAGTCTGTGAGTCAGAACAGCCGGCATTGTAGTCTACTCTACCAGGATCAGGAAACAGTCCTCCATAAAATGCGCTGCACACATCTGAATATTTGGGTTGAACTGTTCTGGAACAGTGTTGTAAATACAACTTAACCACTGATTTCTAGTCGTGTCCTCTTTTGGAAGGCCAAACAAAGTAGTTTCGCTTTCACAACGAAACACGGCGGGCTAGAGTGAGCGGAGGCGGGCGGGCTTGAAACGGCACGGCCGGCGGATTCGACGAAGGAGCGTCCGACGGGCTTGCGGCAAACAGCGAGAATAAAAGTTACGCCGCCTTTGCGTGAACATTTGGGCGGCGTTATGCAAATCTTCCCACATCGTGACGTAGATATGTGAGGGCGTGTTAGAATGAGCCGTTTTAGGTAGGCGTGGTTGACTCTTAACTTTTATAAAGAATATCTCTTTGGATTTGAGACTTTAGTCTTTGCAACTTTACAGATCTTCTTTATGCACCAAGAGCTTGTAACACTCCAAAGAGAAAGGAAAAATTGAAATCGCATCATATGACCCCTTTAAGAACATCAGAATTTGTTTTGTGTGTTGGGCTGCTGTATTTGTGTGAATCTGATAACTCATATGTTGCAGGTTCAATCCCAAGCAGATGTGAGTTCGAAACTGGAGATGGTACCAACATCACCAAAAACTAAAGAAAACTACACAATATATTTAAAAATTATGTATAAGCATGTTCTGAGTCAGCTGAGCTTGTTTAATATCCAAAAGTACTGTCTAGGTGAGCTTGATGATGCTCTGAAGCAGCTCAATGCTGGATAGGTTTTTGAACAGAAGTGGTTTTGAATGCATTTACGAGGCTCGAAATGCCATCTAGGTAGGCAGCTCACTGGTTTTTGGAGTTTTTGAAAATGATGCAACATGTGGCTAAACTTGGGTGGGATTCTGAGTTTTTGTAAAGCAGAGCTCACTCAGAACATGCAAATTACTACCAAAGAGTAAGTCTAGTGGGTTGGCAACTCTCTAGATTTTGAGACAATTTCTCAGCTAAGATGACTTGCAATGCATTTATGCCCTTTTTTATGTGAGCTGACTTTGAACATGCCAGTGAGGCCCAGAAATGCTGTCTAGCTAGGCCACTGAACATGCTAATGATTCCCAAGGATGCTAGCTACATGATCAGCTCCCTATATTTTGAGCAGACGTGTTGTCTAGTTAAGCAAAGTTTTTTAGCTGACTATGAAGGTGTCCATGATATCCAAAAATGATTTCTAGATAGGCAGCTCACTAGGTTTCAGAGTTTTTGAGCTGAATATGCTTATGATGCCAAAAAATCAAGTCCCAAGTTGACAAGTCCCTAGGTTTGGAGTTTTTTGACATGAGCTCATTCAGAATACACTGAAGACACCCAAAAGGTAGGCCTAGGTAGCTGACTGGGTTTTGAGATGCCATCTCTCAGCTGAGATCACTTGCTGTCCGCTTAGGCCCAAAAATCCTGTCTCGGAAAGCAACTTGAGGTTTTTGAGCAGAATTGACTCTTAAAGCTCATACGACATCCAGAAATGCTGTCTAAGAAGGCAGCTCATAGGTTTTGGAGTTTCTTTAGCTGAATTCACTCTGAAGACGTGTATGATGTCCAAAGTGCTGGCCACATATTCAGTTCCCTACGTTTTGAGAAACAATCTCTTAGCTGAGATGACTTGCACTATGGTTATGCTCAGTTACGTTGTTGCCAGTTGCTGTCTAGCTACGTTTTTGATCTGAGCAGACTCTTAATGTGCATATCCAGAAATACTGGATGCACTAGGTTTTGGAGCTTCTATAGCTGAATTCACTCTGAACATATTTATGATGCCCAAAAAATGCTGCCTACATAGTCAGTTTTCTAGGTTCACTGCTGGAAAAAACTGCTAAATCCAGCCTATGCTGGTTAGCTGGTCTTAGCTGGTTTAAACTGCGCATAGCAGGTCTTCCAGCCTGACTAGCTAAAGAAGTGGTCAAAGCCTGCAAACTAGATATGACCAGGCTGGAAGACCAGCTAAAACTAGCCAAACATTTTAGGCTGGTGTTTTTTCTCAACAGGCTTTTGAGACCCAATCTCTCAAACGAGTTGATTCCCAATGCGGTTATGCCCAAAAAATGCCTAGTTAAGCAACGTTAAACTGAGCTTAACGAACATGCCTATAATGTCCAAAAATACTCTGTAGTTTGGCAGCTTGCTAGGCTTTGAGGAACTGAGACGACTCTTTGAGTACGAGGTCTGAAAAAACATCACCGTTTGTTCTGGCCTCTATCACCATTGCACTTCAATAGGGCACTTGACCCCTGGGTTTCTCCGAGGAGGCTGACTGTCCCTCCAGCTATAGCGAAGCCAAGCGAGGCAATATTTTGCAAACCGATAAGTCACAAGGTGGGCATTATCTCACTACTAGTGACTCCATCATCTGATGATGATGCTGGACCCCAGTAGCAACTCCGAAACAGTACGGAAACAGCGCTGTCCGGGAAATCCCGATCGCCATCTACCCCTCCACCCCCCTTTACTAATGTTACCGCACCTCCAACCTTCCCTCCCCCAGCCAGAGGAGTAGAAACAACAAGCCGCCATTTTGTTTGTGCGGAGAGAGTGAAGGAGGCAGGAGCGACCGAAAAAAAGCCACTCGAGCGCCGAACACTGCGACTCTGAGCGCCGCCGGCTCCGGTTCGCGGATCCAGACCGGATAAAACACAAGCCGGCGATTAGCGGAGGCGACGGAGGGAGATTATAGATTCTCCAGTGTGCAAATCAAAGAGCAGACTGGGTTTTCCTTTCTTTTGCTGTTCTTTTTTTAAACGAAGCAGAGAGGCGGAAGAGGGCAATACATTTAAACGAAGGAAAGCTCGTCAGGGGAAAAGGAAAATAACAGCGTCACGAAGTGGGAATATCTGTGAAATTACATCGCCGGTTGCTGGCGGACGACGGCGAAAGTGGGGAAAATTGCAGGAACTGTGCAAGAGAAGGGAGAAATTTAAAAGGGATGAACGCGCAGGGGGGTTCACGGCATCACAAAGCCTATGAAAGGGGGTTGAGGACCCCCAGATTTTGGGGGGTGCAGCTGGCAATATCACCCGGATCGGCAGATGCTTCAGACCCGAAATATTATTGAAGCCAAGCTCGGTTCGGTTCTGTTTTCGACCCACTACTGGCTGTTCCTCTCGCTCTTTCTTAATGCTCCGCACGGCTCTTCGTGCAGTGACAAATTATTCTTATTTGCTTGACGTGTCAGTGCATTGAAATACACGCATATGCATTGACCAACTTCACTTGATTCCCATTCTTTAGCTCGAGCACAGCGGACTGCGAGACAACATCTTGCACTTCAGACCGATTGCATGCATGTTCTGTCCATTAAACGGACACTTTTGAAAGCATTTCTTTGCATGCACGAGCTGTGCGCAGTGCAGGGTGGTCTCGTGAAGCGATGGTCAGAGGTTTTCTGCAAACACTTTTAACTCGTGCAGTGGACACGTTCACACAGAGGGCGCACGAGCCATATTCAGATGCGAATGCACAATAAACCATTTGACTTGTCACTTTTAAGTGTTGTTGCAAAATGCTAAGACATGGACACTGAAATATGCAAGTTGTTTGGAATCATCTAAAGTGGTAGCTTGTGCATGCAAACTGAAGTTGGATGCACATTCATCGCGTTATTTATTCTGCAACGAGTACGGTCTTATTAAGGATGAAAGGAAACTTTTACATGCATATGACTGTTTAATGATATTTCCAGTATTTATTTGTTCTCTCCATTCATCTTAGTTACTTGGGAGGAAATAAAGACATTGATGAAGGAGATTCAAACATCTGTGTCAATTTTAAGGAGCACGATGGACTTGCAATCTTCTAAATAAAGTGATGCAGGCTGAGAATTGCACATGCTACAATGCAAAGACGGACAAGATTCTGAATCATAGCGTTTGCTCATAAGCATTGCATGAAGCCGCACCGGAGCGAGTTCGGTTTCTCGTACACAACGCCTTAAAAAAAAAAAACCCTAACACTTCAGCTCGCCGCCGACAATGGCGGAAAAGACGGATGCAAGCAACGAGGATAAATCTCGGGAAAATTGCTCAGTCGCCGAGGAGGCTACGTGAGTTTGCGGCGAGCTTGCATGACCGTCTGTCCCTCCCTTCACCTCCTCCATTCGGAAATATACTTTGAGGAACTAAAGACTAGAAATTCTTAAAAGGGAGCTTTAAAGGTGGACTGAACATTGAAGCTTTGCTTTGCATTGCATTGCATTGCATTGCATGCATGTGTCGTCCCATGAAAGGGAAACGGGAATCCGTCCGGTGCTCGTGAACGAGGAGAGATTTCATTTGCACATCGGCTGCACAGGAAGGGCTATCCTACGCGGGATATATGCTTTATACTTTGAGGAACTAAAGACTAGAAATTCTTAAAAGGGAGCTTTAAAGGTGGACTGAACATTGAAGCTTTGCTTTGCATTGCATTGCATTGCATTGCATGCATGTGTCGTCCCATGAAAGGGAAACGGGAATCCGTCCGGTGCTCGTGAACGAGGAGAGATTTCATTTGCACATCGGCTGCACAGGAAGAGTTTTCCTACGCGGGATATATGCTTTAACACTAAACCGGAGGAAAACTATGGCCGATAATGTGCTGGAATCCGGCCCGCCTTCAGCTAAGAGGCCTAAATTGTCTTCTCCGGCTCTGTCGGTCTCCGCGAGCGATGGAAACGGTAAATAATAATGTTTCACGCGCTGCGGTGTGCGGCGGCGAGTCTGCCGCTGTTCGCCTGCATGTATGAAAAAAAGACGCTCGACGTGTGTTCCCAAGAGCTTTCTTTTGTTGTATCTGTTTGTTTGCATCGTTCCCTGGTATTTAAATAACTTAGCAGGGATAGCTAGCAGGCTAATTTGCTCCGTGTTTTCATTTGAAGTTGATGAGGTGTGTTACAATACTGTTTGTGCGTGGTCATCTGAGTGTGCAAAATAGTATGCATTGTTTTTCCGGGTGTGCGTTACACAAACTTTTCGCTTTGTTCGTCGTTATGAGATGTCGAGAGCAGGGGTTGGTGTCAAAGGTTTATGAGGTGATGCATTTTGAGCTTGTCAGGAAAAGGAATACTCGACAGGAACATGTTATAAATCACGTCGGTTGGGAGTGAAGTGTAGAGCACTTTGAGAATCCAGAGGTCTTTCTTTTCAAGTTGGTTTACATGTAGTGCGTACTAAATAGTTGACAAACCAGTGTCTAAGTTTCTGATCAACACTACTTCATCTGTGTGGTTACTCTGTAGTTTAACTAGCTTAAGGTGGTTTGCTGGTCTTCCTGTTAGACCAGATGAAAAGTGTCCAAGACCCTTCTAAATCCAGCCTAAATCCTGCAAACGATTCTAGGCTGGTTTATACAGCTCTTTTACAGCATGTGTAGAAGTGGAAGTCAGGTCATATTGCCTGAACTCTAGTGGTTCACCAGTGCAGGTTTTTAAATGGCTGATAGATCAACAGAGCAGATAGTGACTTATGCTTATGTATAATCTATTTATATGTATGTATAATTTCATAATAGCAAATAAGATTAATTTTAATCAGCATTGTATTTCATACAATAGTTATTTCATAAAAAAAAAAAGCTTTTGATAACTAAAAACAAGTTTGGGGAAACTGGGGTAAGTTGTGCCACTGTTTGTGTTGTCATCTAGGCAATAAGAAATTAAATTGTTTGTACAACTAATACTTTAAACTAAATCCCGTTTTTATTTTTACTGCACACTATCTGCAATTACCTAAAGATCAACCCATGAACTGGGCATAATATGGTTATTTTAATATTTAGAATATTGAAGTCAAAGTAAAAATGTTTTTTTTTTTTTAATATTCTATAGATGGGGAAAAAAAACATGACAAAAATTGATCATAAAATTGGCTAAATGCTGTCACTTTTCTAATTTGCGTCTCTTGAAAATTTACATGCATTAAAAAAATATAAAATGAAATAAAAACTCTCAGGTATCCACAAAAAAAGGTTGTATGTAGACTTTAAAAGAGATAAAAGTGTGAAAAACACTTGTGTAAATCAGCCAAGCATGTTTTGGTTGTTGGTCTATGGCCATAATCTCAAATTCAAATCCAAATATTGTCTGATTAATTGCTTTGCTGATATATCGATCTAATCATTAATGTGAAGACTGCATTTAAAAATTCCCTTGCTTCATATTTCGAGTATGTTGCATTTATCAGTCGTTGGTGCGTTGCTGCTATCAGGATCTGCCATTATGTAGGAAAAGGCCCCCATTTTGTCCCACCACTTGTCCATTGTTATGCCATGCCATGTGTTTTTTATTAGTATGAACCATTAGGACATGCACACCGGCTCTACTGCATACTGTTCTCCTGTGAGCCGATAATCTCAGTCGCTCTCTCATCATGGGAGCTGCAGTAAACTGTTGCATGAGATTCGTTCAGTCGCGCTTTGGTCAATTTGTCTAGATTTCTTGCTGTAGATTGATGGATCAACCCATGTATTGTCCAGGCCAACTAACCTCCCGGTGTATTGAAATTACAGATGTGTTGTCCACTTATTACTTTATCTCATCAGATTAAATTCTGTCTAAGAACAAATATGGTTTCTTTTGCTGTAGCTTTGCTGGACCTGTCTCATTTTTTGGGCATATACTATAATTATTCTCTGATGTATCTCATTATGAGTGATTTTTCTGTGAGCAACAACCTTATTAAAGTCTCTTTTCCCCCTTTCTTTCAGATTTTGGCTCCCTGTTTGACCTGGAGCATGACCTCCCGGACGAGCTCATTAACTCCTCCGACCTGGGCTTTCCTAACGGGATGGACCCCGGCCAGTTGCACACCACTCTGGGTGGAGGAGGGATGTTGGGCCCTCTGGGCGGCTCGGGCCAGGACACAGCGGCCAAACACAAGCACCTGTCTGAGCTCCTCCGCCCTGGCGCCCCTCCATCCACCTCCACGGCCACCAGCAACCCCGGTAACGCGCCCTCCTTGGGGATGATGGGAGGTCTGAGTGGTAACCTGGTTACTCAGGGACTGGGTGGCCCACAACAGCAGCAGCCTGGCATGATGCCGCAGCCTGGCATGGTGGCGGGACTGAACCGGGGCATGATGGGCGCCCAGAAAGGGAACGGACAGCCGCAGGGCATGATGGGAGGGCAGATGATGAATGGTGCGCCTAGAATGGGCTACGCCAATGTGAACATGAATGCGGGCATGGTTGGTAATGGGAACATGCTGCCCGATGCTCTGCAGCAGCAGAACGCAGGGCAGCAGATGGCACAGGCAGCAATGAGACCGCAGCAACCAGGAGCAGTGAACAAGGTAACGTGAACAAATCAATATAATAATTCTGTGTGCAACCAATAAACTGCATGCAAAATGGTTTTGCTTCAAGCTTTAAGGTTGACTTCAATCTGTTTTATATTTCATTATACATCTATGAACTGGTGTGTCTTTGAGTGAAAGAGTTTAAATTTAAAATGGTAATATTTCACAATATTACTGTTTTCACTGTATGTATGATCAAATAAATGCAGCCTTGGTGAGCATAAGAGACTCAAACGTATAAAATTTTATGTAATATTTATATATATTTTATTTATTATAGATGCTATATATTATTTATTTTTTATTATAGATATTAAATTTTGATCTAATTATTAATTACAATAAATATTACATTTTTATTATTATATAAAAATTATATAATATATAAAATTTAATATAATTTTTTTTTACAAACATAAGTGTTGCTTTTCATTAGACAAATTGAAAAATTGACAGAGACCCAATGAAATCAATAAATAAAGACCATTGACTTAATTAATTATTATTAATATTATTATTTTTAATACAAAAAGTGCAAGCCCTTTTAAGCCTTTCTGTCCCAACTTCCTGTTTCAACAGTTGTCGAACTATTTTATGGAGCAAAAAGTACAATAACAACAAAAAGCGCCATGTTCTGTTGCTGTCACACACCTATCAGTCCCAGACCCAAACTTTATGGTTGAGTTGCTTTAGAGAGAACCTAAATTTTAAAGGTCAAACAAGTAGTTCTCAGGATTTATGACTTTTAAAAGGCCAAGTTGTCTAATTTTCAAACGTTATAACCTGAAAAAAAAAAGTAGTGACTCATGTTGTGTTTATCGTTGTTTGCTTGATTTAAAATCTAAATTTGAAAAATTCTGGTTTTCATCATCCGAATAGACAAACCTGATTACTTATGTTCTTGTGACAGCACTGTATTCTCCTCCTTTAAAAACACGACCCTTTGTTAATTTTTTGGTCTTGTAAGACTGTTGTTAGAAATCAGGTAGTGAAATAGAATATTCAAGTGAAAGAAATCTCTTGTGGTGTTTCTTTGGTTTGAATGTGATGTGATCCTTCACACTGAAACAGAGCTCAGTTTGAACAACCTTCTCTACTCCCTCATACGAGGAACTGTGCGCACCATTTTGTTGATTCACAGGCGATTGCACAACCTGGACTGCAGGAAATGGGCAGAAAAAAAGAGGGAATGACATTTTATTTTTTTGTTTTGTTTTGCTGGGTTCTTCTAGATTTCAAGCTGCTGTTTTGAGGGTTATTTTGCAGAATTGATACCGCATTGTCACTAACATTATGCGTATGCAATGAGTAAACAATGGGAACGTGAGTGTCAAACAGGCTGAATGATTGTTTCTCATCTATTGATGTTTTGCTGTTAGCATTCTCAGTTTTGTCAGCTCATCTTTGATGGTTTATGATTCTGCCCAGGATGATGGATCAGATTCTGTCATAACTGAAACCTTTGAGACTGATATACTAGCTCATTTTCATTCTTGATAGTTTTTTTTCTTCTTTTTTGTTCCTCAGATGGGAATGATGGGTGCTCCAGGCCCCTACAGTAGTTCATATGGTCAGTGCGGAGGACAGTCCCTTGGGCCTCAGCTCCAAAACAAAGCGGGACAACCCAACAGCATTAACCAGTTCAACATGGACAAGAAACCTCAGCATGGGCAGAACATGGGTGGCATGGTGAGAGAACTGTACAGAAATTGTCACAGCAAACCACATCCACACACATTCCCTGACCCTCTCTGACTGAGGAGATTTAATTCCATCTCTTACTCTTACTCTCTTATCACCAAGAGCCTTCAGTTATCATTTCCCCTCAGACCTCAGCCAGTGGTTCATCCCACAGACACTGAACTTGTTGATTGATTATTTCTACGTAGTCACAAAATTTGTTTCCCCAGATTTGTGAACAATTTGAGAGGCCATTATTTGTGAAATTCCACACATCACTACCCCCATTTTCAGTTAGTTTTAGTCTTGAAAATGCTTTGAACAGTGATGCACTGCAATGGAAATTTGACTCACTAAACTAAAAGACAAAATCAAAGTGCTTTTTCTTTTTTTCTCTTCATAGTTAATGTGTATATAAGCAATTACGCCAGCTTACATAGGTTAGTGTGACCTTTTATCTAAAATAGTCCCACATTTAATTGAAAAATGACATATTTTTAGAATAAACTTTAAGACACAGCTCTTGCTTTACTGACATACTTACACATACTTAACACTCTCAAGTTGATTTTTATGCAATAAAAGTTGTATTTGCATGGACAAGAGCTGCGTCCCAAATGATACACTATGCACTTATACACTATGTACTCAACCATGTAGTGTATTAATTATATAAGGTTATTTTTGTCATTCATAATCAGTCTGATAGCCCCTCCCCCTTCTCTACGTAATTAAAGCTGAGACAGTTGAATGCATGAAGTGTCCATCATTCCACACTTCGTTTTTTCGGTTATTTAAGTGCATCATCCGGGTATTTAAAGTGCACTTTTTCTTTTTGGAATTTTCAGTGTGAACGCACTACTCGCACTATTTATAATACAGAACGTCATAGACTAGTGTGTAATCTTCTTAGTCTTCTTAGTAAAATAATAATTCATAATGTCATGCTTAAATGAATCCATATCAAAGTTACAGTTAAAGATCTGTTAAAGTTGCAGATACTTCCGACCATTTTTGACAGCCACAATTTTGGTACATCCCTAGTTTTGAATAAATGTTATTTAAATAAAATGTATATAAATAATTTCTGGCTAATTTGTTTGATTTGTTTTTCTTGTTACAAGTACAATTGCAGTATTCTCAGTAACACATTTTACCATATTAAAACTATTCTGCAGAATCTAAACATTCAGAATCTTAAAATATGGAAAAAGGTCTGCAGGTTTTGCATTTAGATCATAGTTTTCACAAAAATATTAATCAACACAACCGTTTTCAACATTGATAATCATATTAGAATGATTTCTGAAGGATCATGTGACACTGAAGACTGGAGTAATGATGCTGAAAATTCAGCTTTTTATGACAGGAATAAATTACATTTTAAAATAGAAAACAGTTTAAATTGTAATAACATTTCACAATATTATTGTTTCTACTTTATTTTTGATCAAACAAATGCAGCCTTAGTCAACATAAGAGACTTCTTTCTAAAAAAATTGAAAAAAAAAACTTACCGATCCCATTTTTTTGAGCTAAGTCTGTGTTTCTTAACACTGCAGCAGCAGGAAGATGAAATCCTGTCCCTTGAAAACCCTCTTTCTGTCTGTGTCTAGCAGAGCTCAGGTGTGGTGGGTGGCGTATCGGGCCCAGGTGGGGCGGCGGCGCCCCCTGCAGCGGACCTGGAGAAGCGTAAACTCATTCAGCAGCAGCTGGTGCTGTTACTGCACGCTCACAAGTGCCATCGCAGAGAGCAGGCCAACGGAGAGGTCCGCCAGTGCAGCCTGCCCCACTGCAGAACCATGAAGAATGTCCTTAATCACATGACGCACTGTCAGGCCGGAAAATCCTGCCAGGGTGAGCGTTGCCTTGCCACCAGTTCATATTCTTTCAATCGTATTTTATTTTCCCACAAATAAACAATGCTTGTGTTTCTCTGCAGTGGGTCACTGCGCGTCCTCCAGGCAGATCATCTCTCACTGGAAGAACTGCACACGGCATGACTGTCCCGTCTGTCTGCCGCTTAAAAGCGCTGGAGACAAAAGAAACCAGCAGTGTGAGTTTTAATATGCACACATGCTACTCATCCTGATGTCGTTCAAAATCTGTGTGACTTCCTTTCTTCTGTTCAACACAAAAGAAGATATTTAGAAGAATGTTTCATCTGTTTTCGCCCATAAAATAAAATTGGATTCCATTGACTTTCCTTAAAGGGATAGTTCACCCAAAAATGAAAATTCTGTCATTAATTACTCACCCTCATGTCGTTCCAAACATGCAAGACCTTCGTTCATCTTTGGAACACAAAAGATTTTTTTGATGAAATCCGAGAGCTTTCTGACCCTCCCATAGACAGCAAGGGTCCTACCACGATCAAGGTCCAGAAACGTAGCAAGGACGTAATCCATGTGACATCAGTGGTTCAACCGTAATTTTACAAAGCTACAAGAATACTTTTTGTGCGCAAAGAAAACAAGAAGCTACGAGAATACTTTTTGTATGCAAAGAAAACAAAAATAACGGCTTTATTCAACAATTCGTCTCCTCCGTGTCACACTTTAGCGCCATTTTAGAGAGTATCACATACGTAAACAGCGTATGCTGTTCTGTGTCAGCAGCACCGTACGCAGATACGCTGTTTACGTTGTTTACGCTTTGATCTGAACGAAAACAACGTATCCGCGTACATACGTTGCATATGTTGTTTATGGATGAACTACTGATGTCACATGGATTATTTTAAAGATGTCCTTGCTATGTTTCTGAGCCTTGATCGTTTAAGGATCCTTGCTGTCTATGGGAGGGTCAGAGAGCTCTCGGGATTCATCAAAAATATCTTAATTTGTGTTCCGAAGATGAACGAAGGTCTTACAGGTTTGGAACGACATGAGGGTGAGTAATTAATGACAGAATTTAAATTTTTGGGTGAACTATCCCTTTAAGACATTATCATCTTTTATACTAAAATACTACTATATCAACATATTCTAGTATTTAAAGAGTTGTTCGATCTCTCATCCTTTCATCCATTCTTCTCTCTAGCTCTGCTGGGAGGTGCTGGGATGGGCATGGGTGGTCCGTTAGGTGGGTCATTACCCGGTGGTCAGCCTTCAGCCCCAAACTTAAACTCACCCAGTCAGATTGACCCAAGCTCCATTGAAAGGGCGTACGCCGCCCTTGGACTCACCTACCAGGGCAACCAGGCATCCAATCAGAATCAGCAGACCTCTGTACCCGCTCAACCCGGCATGAGGACACTCAACAATATAGGTGAGAGTTTCCATAAGTTGTAGCCTCTAATTACATGTATGTCCGCTAATGTTATTTAAAGGGTTAGTTCACAAAATTTTTTTTGTCATTAATTACTCACCCTCATGTCGTTCCAAACCCATTCGTTTATCTTCTGAACACAAATTAAGGTACTTTTGATTAAATCCGAGAGCTCTCTGACCCTCCCATAGACAGCAATGGTACTACCATGTTCAAGACCCAGAAAGGCAGTAAGAACATCATTAAAATAGTCCATGTGACATCAGTGCTTCAACCTTAATTTTATGATTTTTTTGTTATTAATCATACATGTAGTGTTTTTTCAGTTAGTGCAAAAACTAGTCAGCTAGTGTACATCCTTAACATGTCTTGCCTACAATATCTTAAACTGTGTGCACCAGCAGGTGGGAATTCAATGGGAGTGAACGGTGGAGTTGGCACTCCGATGACAAGCCAGCATCCAGGAATGCTGCCTGACAGCATGCTGCACAGGAACATGACGCCTCAGAGGTACCAAACATCACTGCGGCTCAGTGCACCAGACCTGGTTTAAATGGATTGGTCAGTGAAAGCTTTATGTTGATGTTTGATGATTTGTCTCTCTCTTGCAGTCTGATGAATGATGGCTCTGGTGTTGGTAACGTGGGTTCTGCAGCAACAGCCACACCTCCTTCTGCAGGAATGAGGAAGAACTGGCATGAAGACATCACACAGGACCTCCGCAATCACCTCGTACACAAACTGTGAGTGATATGCTAACACACAGCCTGTCATTTTATACATCTATTATAAGAAATTGTACAAATTTTGGGAATTTTACATTTATGATAAATTAATAAAAATGAAGGTGGCTTCAACACTGAATAATTACTAGTTAGTAGCAGACGTTCCTGCTTGATGGCTGAAATAGGTGGTGGATTACAGTATGCACTCTCATTGGCTGTCGGACGAATCACATCGCTGCTCATTCGCACAAAGACCGATAAAACTGTCACTGTTGCTCACGTCATCAGAAAGCACCAACTCTCATTGAAAATTAATAACTTTAGGTTGCTTCTCTGCTGCAAATCACTGTCTGCTGCATATTGACACATCACTTATACACATTACTATTCAGTGAAAACACAGCATTTATTTGAAATAGATTTCTTCTGTAACATGATAAATGTCTTTACTGTTATATTTGATCAGTTTAATGCATCCTTGCTGAATAAAAATATTAATTTCTTAAACTATATTTTTTAATGATAGTGTACATTTGTACAAATGCATCTATAGTTAAAGGGATAGTTCACCCAACAATGAACATTCTGTCATTAATTACTCACCCTCATGTCGTTCCAAACCTGTAAGACCTTTATTCATCTTCAGAACTCAAATTAAGATATTTTTGATGAAATCTGAGAGCTCTCTGATCCTCCATAGACAGCAAGGCAGTTGACACATTCAAGACCCAGAAAGGTGGTAAAGACATTGTTAAAATAGTCAATGTGATATCAGTGGTTCAACTGTAATTTTAATTTTTGTAGTTTTGTTTTTGCACAAAAAGTATTCTTGTAGCTTTCATAAAATTACTGTTGAGCCACTGATGTCACATGGACAATTTTAATGATGTCCTTACTATGTTTATGTGCCTTAAACATGTCAGTTACATTGCTGTCATGAATTATACATGAAATAAAAGAAACGTTAACTGAAATAAAGTATACAAAAGGAAACCATTTTATTTCAGCTAGCTTATCAAGGCCACATTTCTCAATTTCAAGTTGATATACTAAAATAACTAAACTAAACTGAAATAAAAATTCAGAAAAACTGTATAGACAACAAAAACTAAAAACTACAAAATTACTGAAACTTTAACAAAAATGGAAAATACAAAAATAAAAGTTAATTCAAAATGTTAATAAAATCTATAATAGGGTTTCACCACCGCATCTACACCAGACGCAACAGTTGTCGAGTCGTGCCGCAACAGCTAATGTCTGTCTACACTGGACGTGACAAAGCGACTTAACTTTGTGTTAGGACGTCATAAATGGAACGAGGCATCAGTTTACTGTCTGGGATTTGTCGTGTCGCGCTGCACCACATCCAGTGTAGACGCATCACTGATTATAATGGGTTCTGTTGTATTTTGTCGTGCTGCTCGCGTCTGGTATAGACATGGTGTCAGTGATACTGAAAAAGCACTGATTTATTTGAAATTGCTCCTTGTGAACTCGCTCTCCATAAAATTATTTAAAATCCTTATCTAGTAATCACACAAAACTGGATCACACATGGTACTGTCTAACTTCATGAATTCACTCTGTTACTTGGGTCTTTTTCTGTGTGTGTGTGTGTGTGTGAGAGTAGTGTGCAAGCTATCTTCCCCACTCCAGACCCTGCAGCACTGAAGGATCGGCGGATGGAAAACCTTGTAGCTTATGCTCGCAAAGTGGAGGGCGACATGTACGAATCTGCCAACAGCAGGGTAAGAAAACGCTTGCACAGTATCATGTCTGTGGATTATATTTGGTAAAGATGTAAGTGAATCCACAGAATCACCTGACTCGTCACATTTTACCCATGACGCAGCTGTCACAGTCTAGCGTTGGACAGAGTGCTGGAAAACTTCGTCCTAACCAGGCGTGATACGTCCATTAATTTTTCTGTCTCCACTAAAAGCTGCATGAAAAACACTTTGAACCATGTTTAAAACGAATTGTAAGAATGATAGTCCTCGTGAATGTTTAACTTTTCCAGGCGGAGTATTACCACTTGTTGGCGGAGAAGATTTATAAGATTCAGAAAGAGCTGGAGGAGAAGAGGAGAACCAGACTGCAGAAGCAGGGTATGATGCCAGCTCAGCCTGGCATGCCCAACAGTGCTCTACCTCAAGCACCAGCTGGCATGAATCAGGCACAGCCGCCTAGTACGTACACATACACACCTGCATAAACTGGCCTTAAAGGAATTGTTCACCCAGAAATGAAAATTGACTGAAAATGTACTGATCCATAGGCTAACCAAGCTGTAGATGAGTTTCTTCATTGGAACAGATTTGTTGAAATTTAGCATTTCATCACTTGCTCACCAATGGATCCTCTGTAGTGAATGGGTGCCGTCAAAATTAGAGTCCAAACTGCTGATAAAAACATCACAATAATTCACAAGTAATCCACATGACTCCAGTCCATCAGTTAATGCCTTTAGAAGTGAAAAGCTGTGTGTTTGTAAGAACCAAATCCATCATTAATGCGTTTTAAATTTAAAATGTCCCTTCTAGCCAAAATTCAAGACCATAATAGCACTTCCTCCAGTGAAACAATCCATCCTCTGTTTTCCTTACATTAAAATGCACTGACATGTCACCAATATCCACCAATATCAACTGTTTTGAACTGTTTTCACTTGTAAACAGTGCTCATATTTAATATGCGCACATCTGCGCATATTTTTCTCCTGATTCAGACGAGATTACTTTTTCACTGGAGTAAGCAATATTATGGATAGATGACTTGTATTTTAGCTGGAAGTAATGGTTTAAAGGGGTGGTTGATTTCACTTTTTTAATGTTAGTTAGTGTGTAATGTTGCTGTTTGATCATAAACAATATCTGCAAAGTTATGAAGCTGAAAGTTCAATGCAAACGGAGATATCGTCTTTTAAAATTCTGGCAGTTTAATGCCTACAAAAACGACTGGTAAGGGACTACAACGAGTTACTTCCCAGGTCCGTTACGTCAAGAACCCAGAATTTTACATAAACCCCGCCTCTGGGAACACACAGCAAAGGGGGCAGGGCCATGCTGCCTGCTTTAGAGAAGAGGAAGAGAAAA